CAGCAGGCACACAAACACACACAGCTGTACAATCACAGATATAGCAGTCCCACACCTGTGCTGAGTAAATGAATGTGATTATGCATGCACACGGATGCAAGCCTCTGCCAACCAATCATACCACATATGATCTGAGCAACAACGCCAGTACTGTAATAACCAGTCACACACTCTCTTTCTCTCTCTCTCTCCACACACACACACAAACACACACACACTCACAGCTGGGAGCATATGACAGCAGCTGCAGGACCAAACTATCATTGCACAAAAACACTGAATACATTGAATAAAACACAGTCACGCACACACACAAACATCATGCTGCTCATTATTCATTCATTCAATTATTCTCCTTTGGCCATTTTAACCATCAGGGGTCGCCACAGCGGAATGAACCGCCAGGTATTCCAGCATATGTTTTACACAGCGGATGCACACTCATTCACACACATACACTACGGACAATTTTATTCATTCATTCATTTTCTTTTCAACTAAGTCCCTTTATTCATCAGGGGTCACCACAGCGGAATGAACCGCCACTATTCCAGCATATTTTAAACAAAGCGGATGCCCTTCCAGCTGCAACCCAGTACTAATATACACACTCTAACACACACAGACCTTCTTGCTGTGAGGCGACATTGCTAAAACTGGGCAATGATTCCACATTAAAAAAAATCAACATATTTCTGCTCTCTTTTTTGCACCCCAGCACATGTACCATTCATTTACAGGTAAAATGTCAATGAAACACACCGCCACAACTTCAGTTACGCAGTGTGTGCTCCTCAGAGGGAGATCTGCTCTTTCACTGAGCACTAGTGTAGGAGGAAAGTGCGCCTTTGACCCTCATAATTAGCTTCACGGTTGTAAAAATGCAAATATGCCTACTGCAGTACACACAGGGTGCCTGCGTGTGAAGCTTCAGTCTAATGAACCGTATACTGGCTTTACTGGAGTCAACATGCATTTGCTAAATGTAGTGATTCCACGGCTAATGAATATCCAAGGCGTTTATGATAGATTTGTGGAATAATTAATCAGGAATTTCATTCATTTCTTTGTTTTCTTCCCACTTAGTCCCTTTATTAATCAAGGGTTGACACAGCGGAATGAACCACCAACTTATCCAGCATATTTTATACATTGCATCACCTATGAAACCTTATTACTACATATAATTACCAAAATATATATTTTTTTCAGCTCTTAAATGTGTGACTAAAAATTGCTTATTGGGCAACACGATGGTCTAGTGGTTAGCGGCGGTTGGAAGTTGGCGGTTCATTCCACTGTGGCGACCCCTGATAAATAAGGGACTAAGCTGAAAGAAAATGAATGAATGTATAAGTTTTCATTTGTTAGGTGCATTAGATGGACTGGCATATAACCATAATTATATAGCATTTATAAGACTTAATTAAAAAAAGGTACGACTAAAGAAATAAAAGCTGTAATTTACTGTGAACTAACACAAAAATAAGTATAATACAACTTTGATTCGAAAGAAGGCGCCCGCTAAAATGTCATTCAGTATGATAACTAATGTTTTACATGTGTTTATGAATACACTTTTATAAATGTAACTTGATGCAGACACCAAAAATTATGCATCTTATCTTTGTATACATTGACAGGGAGATATGCACTGCAAAACATGCTTTTCTTAATTAGATGTTTTGCCTTGTTTCTAGTCCAAATATCTTAAAAACTCTTAAATCAAGAAGCATTTTCTAGACAAACAAAACACATTGTTTTAATTTAAGAAATAATATGGCGATATAAAAAAATTTTCCTTAAAACAATCAAAATAATCTGCCAATGGGGTGAGCAAAATAATCTAATGTCAAAAGAAAAAAAAACAGTTTATTAATCTTACCCTATTGGCAGATTATTTTGCTTTGTTTTAAAGAAAAACTCTGCCTTTACTGCCGTATTATTTAATATTATTTCTTAAATGAAGACAACGAGTTTTGCTTGTCTAGAAAATGCTTTTTGATTTAAGAATATTAAGATATTAAGACTAGAAACAAGACAAAAAAAATCTAAGTAAGAAAAACTTTTTTTTTTGCAGTGTGGTTAGGGTTACAAACAAGTTTCGTGGAAAGCTTAAAGCTGGATCAAGAGGTAAGAGTAAAGTTCAAGAGCCTAATTATAGATGTAACCACAAAAAGTAATTAGATGTAGGATCTATATGTGTGACATGGGTTTGTATATAGATATGCTGTAAAAATATACATGGTTAGTAACTTAGTGTATTATATCTTTGTTTGAGTCACTGCATTATATATTCGTCACACACTAATAATATATGAATATGGATATGCATACTAAAAGAAATGCTGCAAAATTGTCACAAACAATTTATATTTGCTGAATTTAAACTAATTAAATTTAGTAATGTTAAAAATTAATTTGTTTGTTGAAATTAAACCCAAATTAATTGTTTACAACCAATTAACTTAAAAAAAACATTTAGCAAATCCAAGGTATTATCTTTAAATATTTTTCAGTGTAGTTACAAATGCAAGTAACGCACATTATCGTTACAATCATGTACCTGACGGTTTAAGTGCAATTGCATCCACATAACTAGCGTTGTTCATTGGTTATTACAGTAATGCTAGACTGTAAAGTGTATCCCATCTTTCTCCAAATCCGTTTGAAGTAAATATCAGTCTATAATAAAGATAAAGAGAAGGTGTGTGTGTGTGTCGTGTGTGTGTGTGTGTGTGTGTGTGTGTGTGAGTGTGTGTGTGTGTGTGTGTGTGTGTGTGTGTGTGTGTGTGTGTGTGTGTGTGTGTGTGTGTGTGTGTGTGTGTGTGTGTGTAAAACACGTCGTGATGACGGTTTGAGTGCTGTGGTGGAGTGATGGAGTCATTAGGCGCTACAGCGGCAGTGCAGTAAACTGTCTCACAACAGCTGATTAGTCTGAGTGAATCCCGCTGAGCCATGACCACACACACACACGCAACTTACACACACACACACACACACACACACACACACACACAGTTGTGTTTTCCCCCACTCTATCATAGTAACACGCCCAGCCTTCATAGTAAAAGCCGCATGAATGTTTGTTGA